GTGGCAGCTCCTGGCCCTTCCCCTGGGAGGGGGTCAGGGGCTTCCTGGGATGCTCTGGGCCAGGAGGCATCCAGGAGGGAGGGACTTGGGGCAGAGGGAGGGGTGTCCCCAAAGCCGTTGTAACCCTGGTCCCTGGGGGGGTTCAGCACAAGTGGGGCCCACCCCCAACTCTCCAGCTCAGTAGTGTGGGGCTCCCCCTTTTACAGGCGCAAGAGGGGGCGCAAGGACCTGGGGAAACTGTTCCGCTGGCCCCAGCCTAGCTCCTTGCACTGTGCCTGCCCCATGAGTCCCCCCACCTGGCAGGAGCCCCCATAGATGCTCCTCGCTGGGCCTTAGCCCTTGAGGAGGGGCACGGCTAGCCCCTCCTCCCCCGCTGGGTCTGCTGAGCTCCCAGCCGGGGGCATGCCCCAGTCCAGACATCCCAAACGCTCAGTGGCAGTCCCAGTGGATTTCCGGGGGCCTGGGACACGTACCAGTCTGTCAGCTGCGTGAGCTTCCTGGGGGCACGTGCCAGTCCAGATGCCCCATGGATTTCCAGGGGCCCAGGACACGTACCAGTCTGCCAGCTGCGTGAGCTTCCTGGGGGCACGTGCCAGTCCAGATGCCCCTGGGGCTGAGTGGAGGCCAGTCTGGGGGCCTGGGGCACATGCCAGAGCAGGCATTTCTGTGGCTGGGAACCAGACTGGATCTTCCAGCTCTGCCAGGAGCTGCGGGCCCCGGGGCGTCCGGCTCCCGCTCAGTCGCCGTGGCTGCAGGCCGCCTTGTGGTGCCGGGGCCGCCAGAAGGCCCGGTAGAAGCCCCGGAGGATCTTGTACATCCAGACCAAGTTGAGGCCCTCCAGGGCCAGGCTGGGCACGATCCAGGCCACCTGCACGGCCAGCCCCAGGCCGGCGGACTCAGTGGGCCCCCAGCCGCGCCGCGATGCGCACCAGGAAGAAGACCGCAGTCATGGCCAGGCCGTTGGCCAGGACGAACCAGGAGGCGCGGGGCTGCCCCACGGTGTCAAAGAACCACCTGGGCCACGAGAAAGGGGCGTGGTCACTTCAAACAGTCCCATTCCCCGCCCCCTCCAGCTGCTGGTGTCACATGATCACAGGCGGAGGAGTGAAGGGCGCCTCCTGAGTCTGCCCATGCAAGTCAAAGGGGTGTTAATGCCCAGCCCCATTCGTGGGGCAGGCAGGGGGGCAGCAGCTCCCCCGATGTCAAAGAACCACCTGGGCCACGAGAAAGGGGCGTGGTCACTTCAAACAGTCCCATTCCCCGCCCCCTCCAGCTGCTGGTGTCACATGATCACAGGCGGAGGAGTGAAGGGCGCCTCCTGAGTCTGCCCATGCAAGTCAAAGGGGTGTTAATGCCCAGCCCCATTCGTGGGGCAGGCAGGGGGGCAGCAGCTCCCCCGAGGCACCGTGGTGCTGGGGTGGGCCCTGGCATCCCATTATCACCCTTGTTGCTCGAGGGGAGGGGGCAGTGGCTGCTTTTGGGGGGAGGGTTATAAAAGGGGGTTCCCAGCCA